ACCAACCAACCAACCATCAACCAACCAACCAACCATTCAGCCAGCCATCCAAATAACCATCTAACCAACCAACCATCAACCAACCAACCAACCAACCTTCAAAATCCAAAAGTTTGGAACTCAAAGCAGAAAGACCAGCAGAGCCCTGATAGAAGTACAGCAACGAACAGAGAGCCCTTCCGTCCACGAAATCTTCCAACTGTCCCACAGTCAACAGCCTCAGCAACTCCTTACTCTCCTCGTCATCAGCATCATCATCATCCGTCTTCATCATCATCATCTTCCTCCTCCTCCTCTTCTCCACCATCATCTTCATCACCGTGTTCACCCAGAAAACAATGATGTCTTCCACGCTATTCGTGTTCAGAGTTGTTGATGGTGATGCTGAAGAGTCTTCCAGGTGGAGCTCCCTGACGGTGGTTATGATGATGATAATGATGTAAATGATGATGATGGTGCAAATGATAATGATGATGTAAATGATGATGATGGTGAAGGCGATAATGATCACCATCAGCTCACCTCGTAACCCTTTCAGCTGAGAAGTTCAGATAAATGTGAGCGGTCATGATCTTGTCAATCAACTTCAAATGCACACCCTGGGGTTAAATAATTTGCCCTTGTCATCATCATCATTGCCATCTTCATCATCATCATCACCATCGCCATACATCACCATCATCATCATTATCATACATCATCATCATACATAAATCATCATCCCCATACATCATCATCACTATCATACATCATCATCACCATCGTTAAACTGAAACAGACCTTGTGGAATGGTTGAGACGACATCATCTCATCGTAATCGAATTCCTCATTGGGAATTCCAAAACCTTTGCTCCTCAGCCAATCATCAATCGACTTGTGATCTGCATTGAGTGAATGAGTGAGTGAATGAATGAGTGAATGAATGAGTGAGTGAATGAATGAGTGAATGAATGAATAAATGAATGAGTGAATGACAAAGTAAGTGAATGAGTAAGTGTGTGAGTGAATGAGTGAGTGAATGAATGAACGAACAACTGAATGAATGAATGAATAAATGAATGAACAACTGAATGAATGAATGTATCAATCAATCAATCAATCAATCAATCAATCAATCAAAAAATGAAAAAGAAGAATGGAAGAATGAATAGAATAATAAAGAAGGTATACATTTGTATAGAGAAACTAATGAACTGAAAGATGAATAAACAAGAAAACATGTGTACAATCATTATTTTTTTAAATCATCTACACCATCATCTTCATCCTCATCTTCACCATCACCATCATCTTCTTCACCATCATCTTCATCATCATCTTCATCATCACCATCCCCACAACGAACATCTTCACCACCATCCTCACCATTATAATCACATCCAACATCATCCTCATCATCATCGTTATTGTCACCATCTCCATCACCATTTCCATCACCATCATCAGCAAACTAACTGCATTCAAAGTGTCTAGTCTCGGAGGGGAACAGTCTAGAGACGGCTCTGTAGTAGGCGACACAGGTCGCCAGGTACTTCACCATCGAGCTCGTCTGCCCGGGAAAAAAATAATTAAAAAAATAATTACTGATTTATTATTACAACTATCTATATCCATCTTATTATATTTATTATTATTATATTATGTTATTTATTATTATTTTACATTGCTGTTAACATTGAAATTATCCACACACACACACACGCACACGCACACACACACATACCACACACGCACACACACTGCATGTGATAGACGAGGACCTATTTGCATTGAAACCCGGTCACACAGCAACAGTTAGAACAGGTGCTCTAACCAATTAGACTACTAATTAATTAATTACCAAATTGAATGAATGAATTAATTAAAAGATTAATTAACGATTAAATGGGTTATTAAGAGTTTTAAATTAGCTATAATGAAGTTCATAATCCCCGTGGTAAATAGTCTTGGTAAGGAAAGATGTCACGTGTGTCTTCATTCATTCAATCATTCTTTCATTCATTCTTCTTTTCGTTCGTTCGTTCGTTCATTCATTCATCAGAGCCATACAATTCAAAGAACTGTTTTAAATCAATAATAACAGTCTTGATGGTAATAATATCGAGAATTTTAAATACTACTACGACTACTGCTACCACTACTACTACTAATACTGCCGATACTACTACTACTACAACAACAACAACTACTACTACTACAACTGCTACTACTACTATTACTACAGCTACTACTACAACTACTAATAATAATAAGAGTAACAAGTTGACGTGAAAATAAATAAAATAAAATATTAAGGTTGTCTGATGTGTTAATGACGTCTATCTATTTACAATAAAATACAATACAAAACCATACAATAAAATACAATACAATATGAAACCATACAAAACAACATAATTCAATACAATACAACACAATACAATACAGCACAAACAATACAATACAACACAACACAATACTATACAATTCAATACAATACAATACAATACAGTACAATACAGTACAATTCAATACAATACAATACAATACAATACAATACAATACAATACAATTCAATATAATACATACTATACAATACTATACAATACAATACAATACAACACAATACAATACAATAGTATACAACACAATACAATACATACTATACAATACAACACAATTCAATATAATACAATACTATACAACAAAACACAATACAATATAATACAATACAATACAATAAATACTATACAATACAAAACATACTATACAATACAAAACAATATTTTCCTATTTCTTCCTCAATGTGATACAACCTAATGGCAAGAAGGATGGCTGGATGGTTGCTATAAAATAAATAAACTTTATTTCTGTTTCATTTACTTGTTACTGTTATTTGCTCTGTATGTGTGTGTGGGCGCGCGCGTGCGTGCGTATGTGTGTGTGCGTGTGTGTAGAGTACATTAGTGGAACTCATCTAGCACAACCACCTGGAACATAATAAACTGTCAAAGTTTTGCAAAATTTCAATCATAAAATGAAATAAACATTTGTTCTCAGGAAAGACAAACAAGAAGCAACTGAAAAATAAAATTAAATGCTAAATTTACTTGTTACATGAATCTACGTACAAAAAGTTGATAGGTTTGAAAAAAAATTTTATATTCTAGAAAATCCATTTCCTTTTCTAATGTAAAATGTAATTTATTTTATAATTGCTACTAATTTATGAATAAATTAATTAAACAATACTCTCAATGGTGAATTAACATGTGACACAGACTGCTTGTGGTCTACAGGGATTTCTTTGCATTCAAATCCAGTTAGTGCAACAGCAGTACCGGACACCTTAACCATTACACTAATAAACTACCATGTTAGCGACAACTAACTTATCGCTAGTCTTTTGTTCATTATAATGATTTTTAAATGGTATGTACTTGTATTGAAAAAATTTTTTAAGTAAACTTGAATTTTAGTGTGTTTGTATCTATTCTATCTTCGTTTAGCGTCCAGCTCCCCAAGGTTGGATGATGTATGTAAACTTAAATTTAAATATTAATTTAAAAGTGAACTCAAGGTACAAACCAGAAACTTTTTTTTCCGATGAATCTGATCGGTCGGTCGTTTGACTATGTAGCCGGCATTTGAGAGTAACCAACTGAAACTCGATACAAACTTCGCCTAGAAAATCAAACATGAGTTTATATTTTATATTTAAACTAAAATAAATACTAAAATTAATTATTTATTAATTTATAATAAAAAAAATAATAATACAAATATAAATATCAAATTTTAAGTAAGTAATAAGATAAAAATATAAAATTGTCGATGGTTTTTATTTTTATCTAATTAAATTAAATGAAGTATTTAAAATAATTTCTAAATGCACTTTTATCTCTATTTAACTTTCTGTGTTATTAATAATCCACACGACTCTGAATTTTCAATTTTGTTAATATTAATTTGATTTGATCATGGTTTATTTTACGTATTGCTAGCTATCATTTAAAAAAAAAGTCTTTATAAGCTATACAGGTTTAATTAAATTAAAAACTATATTTAATTATTTACTTTAGTTTAGGCTTTAGAGAAAGTTAAGTTAAGTTAAGATTAAGTCAGACAGGTGATCTGTAATCTGATCACTATAATTTTTAAATCATTAATATTTAATAATAAATGTTTAATTTAAAAATCAAATTTTTGGCGGCGAAACAATCCAGACTCTAGTATTATTTAAAACTTAATTTCAATATTAATATTATTAAATTAGAATAATAAATAATAATAAATTAAAATTATAAATAATTAAAATTATTTTAAATTATTAAAAAATAAAAATGCAATTAATCAGCCCTCCTCACTTCATCAACGTTATACTGTTCGTCGGGAATTAGATCCGGAACGTCAAAATTCATGGCGGGAAGTTGAGGAATAAAGGTTAGCCCGATCGCATTAATTAGTAAATTATATTTTAATACTAATTTAATAAATAAAAATTTATCTTGGAAACATAACAAAAATGTTTAAAAGTGAACATAGTATAAAAAATATTTTTATTGTTGCGCTTCATTTAATGATCGAAAATTGAATAGTGTTAATGTTGCAATTTGCGGGGATTAAAAGAGAAAAATAAACTTTATTATGAAGATATTTTGAAAAAAGATAGAAAACCCCAACACGTTTAAAGCTGATTATCTCAGAAAACAAAACTATACCGATTTATAAAGTTATAAAATAATTTAAACAGAATCACGGAATCACTCTACCCGTAGGGGTTGATCTAAATATTATACTATGCGAATCTCTAGCGGCTCATTCGATGCCAATATCTAGAGTTCTAATTCCGATAATTTTTTAATTGAAATTTGGATGTAGTGTCTTATTAAGATATACGATGCATGAAAACCACTCACTGAATTTTCTTTACATAATTTTTAAAATATGGATTGGTAATTTTGCTTTGGAAATAACTCTTCAAAAACAAATTTTCGTGTAACGTTCTCTTCAGATTAAGCTATATCTGTTTTGATAACAAATCTAAAAAATGAGTTAACAAAGGTGAGTTCAATTTTTTGTAACTATTTTTTCTATTATAATTGAATATATTAATTTATTTAGCATTTTCACAGAAGTAAAAATAAACTTCTCTATGATAATAATGTTATTTTACTTTTTGCTCTTTCATTTTATTAGATCAAACATCAGTAAATATTTTCGAATGTAGACTTCATATCCAATCTTTCACTCACACTCAAGACCATCTCTCACACGCACACACGCATGCACACCACATTCATACACATACAAACAAACACGTACATAAAGACGCAGTACATTGCGTCATATTTAAAAGAGAACGTGATAGATATAAGAAATATTGAACGGACGACAGCCTAGCTGAAAACTTATTTGTAAACGATGTATTCGTCTCAATTTTATTTTACTCCAAGAATATTTACAACGAAGTTACCAGACAGAGTTGTTGTAAACTAGACAGCATATTGCTTGAAATAATGATCAACGTACAGAAATGAAAGTCTAACTGAAGTTTATAAATTTCTCAGACGAAAAGCCAAATAGTGACTGAAAATAAAGTGTTGATAGTTCCTGCTACTGCTATTAATCAATATGATGAAAACACAAACAACGGATAAAATACAATTCAGAAGGCATAACAGCGAAAAAATTATAAAACAACCGTAATTGCTTAGCCAAGATTTATCATGGATCATGATGGGATCATGATATGGGAGCCATCTGGATATTTATCCGGACTACGCAAAATATTAACTACAATATCTTTAATATGCAATCAATTGTAAGACATTAACTATGGTACATGTGATATAACTGTGTAATAAACATACTGTATCAATGATAATATTTTAGGTAAAAGGTAGGTTATTAATAATTAAATTATAATTCGCGATAATATTTTAATAATAGTAAATATTAAGTTGAGGTTTTCTGGTTTTCAAAAATCGCAAATATTTACAGAGGCAGAATTAGAGAACCTTGACAAGGCTGGCCAAAATTTTGAAATTTGACGGGCGGCAAATACTAAATCCACCACTGATTATGTGTGTCCTTGTTATTTATTTTTTTAATGTTCTTATAATTGGTTCCAAACATTTTTAGCAAAATATAAAACACATCAAAACTCAATTATTTTGTCATAAGATAAGATGAAATCATGAGTCACGATTGAAAGTTGAACATGCATTGCTGCTAAACATCAAAATTTCAAGCCTACTATTTAACTTACCCATTTAAAAACTTTTGTAAAAATTAACAAAAAATTTGACATTTTGTCAAAAAAAAACATAAATAAAAACTATTATGATCTTTATTCAACTATTTAAAGTCAGGTCTGAAATTATGGTAGATTGTTTTGGTATTGTAGCAAACAAGTGAAAATTTTCTACTCTGGATAAACGGAAAGTCGTGCCCCTCTGAGAGTACCACGATCCATCTCATGCAAAGATAAGGCACTGTCAAAAATTTTATCCAGGGTTGAGTTCCAAATGTCTTCCGTGACGATACTTGTAACTCTTCTTTCTTGATCCTCCTTCGTCTTCTTCATTGGCTGCTGGTCCGAATTTGTTGTGGATGTTATGGATGCTGTTTTCGTTGTTAATGTTTCTGTTGTTGGCGAGGTTGCGGTTGTAGCAAGAGTGGTTGCTGAGTTGCAGTCGTTTGTTGAAGTTGTAGGCGTTTCATACTGGAGTTTGCTGGTTTCTTTTGATAATTTTCTCGTTGGAATATCATTACTTGGTATGATGTAGATGCTGTCAGAGTTGGTGAGGTTGCTTTTCAATTTGTTGTCAACGTTGTTGCTGTTGTTGCTGATGTTGTTGTGGATATCTGAAGTGGTGTAATTCATATTGACTTGAGTTATTTTGATGGTGTTCTTATCGTTGGTCGTGGGACTGCTACTGCTGCTAGAGCTACTGCTTCTGCTGTTTTTCGCGCTTAGGCTGACTGAAAGCATTAGATTAAAAAAAATAGTAAAAATGTTTCTTAAATTTATTACTCTAATATGAAAAAAAACATCAGAAAATATTATTTAAGAATTAAAATTTGAAAAGTTAACTGATGTCACACACAGACCAGGAGTGGACAAAGAGCTGGCAAATTCATTTTCAACAGAATTGCGAATTAGGATAGTTTTGGAACTTTTAGTGCCAAACTGGTCGTCAGAGCTGAACCTCTTGCCGCAAACGAACGTTTGCTGGCTTGAGTTTGTAGAACTGTTGAAGTCCATGTTTTTGTAGGTTGGAAGTTTCGTTCGCAAAAAATCCAAGCTGATGAATTGGAACCTCTTGTTTTGGTTGTGATGGTCACTTTTTCTGTCGTCTGCATTTGGACTGTGATGTGTTTTATGGTTCTTGTACTTTGAAAAAATGTTCACTCTGTTTTCATTTAAGATTTTATAAAGCTGAGATTTTAAATAAGTTTTTGATACTTCATGGCGTAATGATTGATTCAATTATTTTATGAAGGCTTAGCTTTCTCAACTAAAATGCAGAAAGTTCAACATAAAAATATTTACTACATTGCCAACATACTCATTAATATTATTTTTATCTAAATCATGAAAAAAAGCAAGCCTACTCAGGAGATCTCCATTTCAGGTAGTAGTAGATGGCTACTCCGATGGCGAACAACAAAACCGCAAAACCTGCCAAACTCAGTCCAACAGCTATGCCTGTTAACGTTGAAACATTTGAAATTTTATTCACTCACAATTTCTTTACTTCATTTGATCATTGTTTTTAGCTTAATTTATTTTTGCCAGTAAAGGCATATAAGGTTTGGAGACTTACGTTTAGCGTGATGGCGGCACGTTTTCTCGGTGGTTTTTTAATTTGGGTGGCTTCTTGTTTTCTGCTTCTGAACAAGTGAGTTCTCTTCTTTTTTACTATGACTATTTTTTTCTATATCTTTCAACATCTTTTCCTTAACTTGAAAATATTATTATGTCTTATTCTAGAGACTTTCTCTTAAGCCTTTCTAACACTCCTTTGTCTCCGACGAGAGTAGTTCGGCGGCGAATTTTTTACTTTAATCTTAGGTCTAATAATAACAATAAAAATAATAAATCTAACTCTAACAAAAAAATAAATATAGTTAGTAACCATAATTATATTAATAATAATAATGTTATTAGCAAGTATAATAAGAATAATAATAATTTTATTAAATCCTACTCTAATCCTAATGTAATTAATACTAATGATAAGAATAATAATTCTAATTCTATTAGTTTAAATAATATAACTAGATTTAAAAATACCAATATTCAACCTACCTCTACATTTTCACTGTTTAATATTAACATAAGACCAATTAATAAAAAATCGCTCTATATCCATCAAATAATCTCTTCCTCCTTACCTGATTTTTTTACTCTTACTGAAACTTGGCACGAGGACTCTAACTCTCCCTCTCTTATTCTTGCTACTCCTGATGGTTACAGCTTCCTTGAACTCTCTAGACCTCCAAAAAATCTTCTATCATCTTCTCATTCTTCTTAT